TTTACACTGCATTTGACTCAGACCACAAGCAGCTTTATTTTCACTTGTGACAGCTGTTCAGTGAGAGTAAAGCAGCCAGTTCCTCCTTTATGCTTGTGATCCAGAACAGATATGGTCTCTGCTGGTATCTCTGCTGGTGACCCAAAGAGCTCAATTTCACCGGAGACGGTAGAACAGGAACCTCATGCAGTCCTTGGCCTGTCTGCTGATGTGCCCTTTGAAGAGCAGTTTAATGCCAGTTCTTTTTGTGTGAGGAAGGAAAAAATGTGTACAGGAATTGAAATCACAATTTTATTTTACTTGAGCTAGATCTGAATATATAGAGCAGGAGGTTGTTCAGAGGTCTTCTCCCACCCTTCTAGTGTGTGCCTTGACTTCCCTATGCTAGGATCCCATCTGTGCTTCTGGACACCCACTCTCTTTCCCACATGCTGTATCCATACACTGAGATCTGTCGGCTTTCTCTCATCTGTCAGCCCTATTTGGTTACTCGCCCTAGTCCCTGTGCTCCCTGTATCATCCATGTCCTGAGCAGAAATCATCATGCCAGCAGTGACTGCAGTGAGAGCCGTGCTCCAAGAAGGCTGGAGAGACGGGAAGTGCTACCTGTCATCCCCACAGCATGGATAAGTGCCTTCATGTCGCATCTGGGAGCTGTTGCTCCATACCACTCTGATGTGGTTCAGGTTGTACAGTTTGGGGATCTCTGAGCAGAGACCAAAGCCACTTATGAGCCTGTTTTTTTCTTGGGATAAGGTTGGTCTGATGTTCCTATCCCTAAGTTTGAAAATGTCAGGATTTGGAAGAACAACACAGCGTGTGCTGTAAAAGATCACTCTCTCTTTGTCCAGTACTTAAATGACTAAGTAGTAGTTGAAATAACAGGAAAGATAAGTCCAAGGTTTTTTTAAGGCCATGTTTGAGTATAAGTCTGTTTTCTTAACATATCATCTTTCCTTCCTCTGAGACATTTACTATATTTTTTTATTTAGAGCAAGGAGAAGGAATAAAACATGTGCTGTCACTGCCCTTGAACGTCTTTGCAACGTTGGCACTTCTCCCCCCTTGTTTCACTTCACTTCTTGTTGGTTTGCCTTTCTGTCTGCCTAATGCATCAGCTTGCAGGAGGATACCTTATAAAATGGAAACCTTTCCTGTGAGGCATTCCTTTCTAGCCTGTAAAGTCTTTGCTGTAAATTTGCTCCAGTCTTACTAACCACTTTGCACCAGAGTCATAAATTTGAATAACTTCACAGAAGAGGATTTGCCTGAAAGTGGGTCACACAAACAGCCCTTTTCAGACAGGGGCTGACACAGTGTGGTACAGTGGACTTTCTCCGCTACAATAAAATAAATGACAGCAATTAGCTTGTTTGTTCTGCCGCAAGCCTTGCACTTCTAGCACTTCTGTTCAGTTTGGGACAGGTTTTAGGCCTGGAAGGAATGCAGAATTAGGAATTGCTATGGAGCGATATCTCTCTAATATCAGCAGACTCCAGACATTTAGCTACTTAAATGCCTGGCTCAGGGTTGCAACAGCAAGATGTTACTCCTGTTAGGTAATAGCAGAGACATATAATTTGAGGGAATTTTGGATGTGAATTTTGTGGCTCTTTTATGCCAACATACGTCTGGGCTTCCTGTCTGTAGTTAGAGGCCCCTGAGCAGCAGCAGGTGAATTGCTTGTCAGTGGCGTGGAGCAGTGGTTTCCAGCTGTGTACAGAGGTGCAGTTACACCAGCTGTGGCAGAAGCACCTCCACACCAACCAGAAATCATACTTAGCTGCCTCACTTGACTTTTGTGATTCCTACCCATTTCTAGCAGATGGGAAAAAAGGGCAATGTTGACTACAGGAGGAACTTGCACCTTGTTCCATGTGACAGAGAGGACTGGAAAACTTTAAAGCTGCTTCAGGGTCTTTAATTTTCCTTTAGCCTGTTTGTACAGTATGTGTACTTCTGTGGTGTTAGCACAAAACCAACAGTTTTTAAAACTTAAATGCAATTAACTTAAGTCATTTTAAGGGAATGAAATTCAGACCTGCCAGCAATGTGCTTTAACACTTGAACCTGCTCTCTCCTCCAGCTGGAAAATTAAATCCAAAACACAGAATCATAGAATAGTTAGGGTTGAAAAGGACCTTAAGATCATCTAGTTCCAACCCCCCTGCCATGGGCAGGGACACCTCACACTAAACCATATCACCCAAGGCTCTGTTCAACCTGGCCTTGAACACTGCCAGGGATGGAGCATTCACAGCTTCCCTGGGCAACCCATTCCAGTGCCTCACCACCCTCACAGGAAAGAACTTCTTCCTTATATCCAATCTAAACTTCCCCTGTTTAAGTTTTAACCCATTACCCCTTGTCCTATCACTACAGTCCCTAATGAAGAGTCCATCTCCAGCATCCTTATAGGCCCCCTTCAGATACTGGAAGGCTGCTATGAGGTCTCCACGCAGCCTTCTCTTCTCCAGGCTGAACAGCCCCAACTTTCTCAGCCTGTCTTCATATGGGAGGTGCTCCAGTCCCCTGATCATCCTCATGGCCCTTCTCTGGATTTGTTCCAACAGTTCCATGTCCTTTTTATGTTGAGGACACCAGAACTGCACACAATACTCCAGGTGAGGTCTCACAAGAGCAGAGTAGAGGAGCAGGATCACCTCCTTCGACCTGCTGGTCACACTCCTTTTGATGCAGCCCAGGATACGGTTGGCTTTCTGGGCTGCAAGTGCACACTGAAGCCAGCTCATGTTCATTTGCTCATCAACCAACACCCCCAAGTCCTTCTCTGCAGGGCTGCTCTGAATCTCTTCTCTGCCCAACCTGTAGCTGTGCCTGGGATTGCTCCGACCCAGGTGTAGGACCTTGCACTTGGCATGGTTAAACTTCATGAGGTTGGCAACAGCCCACCTCACAAGCGTGTCGAGGTCCCTCTGAATGGCATTCCTTCCCTCCAGCATATCAACCGAACCACACAGCTTGGTGCCATTGGCAAACTTGCTGAGGGCGCACTCAATCCCACTGTCCATGTCAGCGAGAAAGGTGTTGAACAAGATTGGTCCTAACACCGATCCCTGAGGAGTGCTACTCGTTACTGGTCTCCAGGTGGACACTGAGCCGTTGACCACAACTCTTGGGGAGCTGCCATCCAGCCAGTTCTTTATCCACTGAGTGGTCCATCCATCAAATTGATGTCTCTCCAATTTAGAGACAAGGATGTTGTGTGGGACAGTGTTGAATGCTTCGCATAAGTCCAGGTAGATGATGTCAGCTTCCTGTCCATCAGTTCCGTAGCCCCGTCATAGAACATAAGTGAAGAGGAATTATTATGGTCAGCACATCCACCTTCCCAATAGAGATAGGTTAGGTTAGTTAACTGAATAGCATTCTTAATACTGGAACTTCCAGTTAGGTGCCTCTGTGGTGAGTTATTGAGGTGGAAGTTTGATGCTTATCAAGATATGAATACCTTTGTTTAGAGGAAAGAAGAGCAGCCATCCTTGCTGGATGGTACAACTATAGCCTGTTTTCAGACTAGAACAGATGTTCTGTAGATGAGAGTATTGTGCATGTCACAGTGAGTTCCCATGATGTGGGAAGTAATTCAGACAAGTACAGAATCCAGACTTTTCTCAAACTGTTAGCTTGAACCAGGTGCTTCACTGATTTCTTCTGTAGGCATTAAACACTTGAAGGCCTAATCCAAATCCAGTTGATGTTAACTGAACCTGGTATTACTTGGTGGGATTGGGGTTTGTTGAAGTATTCAGCTGAATCTTGTAGCATGCTACAGTCATTCCAGGCCCTTTTCTTCAGCCTGCTGCTCTCCTCTGCCTAATGCACACTATGTCCTCATGGCTTGCAAGCTACCAGCAGTGATGCAAATTATTATTACTGCATGCCAAAACTTTTGGTATTACACTTTACTGTATATTTTTCCAAAATAAAAGCTTTAGTGACTGAAGTAATTATGCTCTAAATACTGGAGAGGAAGTAAAAACCCCACAATCTTGCAAATGTAAAAGCAATGAAGAGTTTTAAACCTGAATCTTTCAGAAGTTCCAATGGACCATGAGATGACTTTGTCATCTCACTACAGTATTGCTTCCAAAACCCAGTACTTATAATTTAGGTTTCAGCATTAACTGTTGCATTACTGATGATTTTGACAGAAACATAAGCCACCCCTCTGTCCATCTTACACAGAACTCGGTGGGGGGCAAAGATGAAGGTCTCAGGCACCTACCTGCCTGCATATGTGTGTGTGTGTGTGTATATGAGTCTCTGGTTTTAATAAGAGAAAGCTCAGGTGCAGTGGCAGTTCAGCAAGATGGGTCATATGCCATTATTGCAAACACTTCTGTATGTTGTCATTGCTGATTGCAGCAAAGTGCATTTTCCTTCAGGGTTATATAAAGTTCATATGATTTCACAGACCAGGATGGTATTTATAGCTAAGGGGCTTTCTTCTTTGCAAATCTTAGAAAATGTATAGGATGCCTGTTGGCATTAACCAGTGTTCAGATTTTTAGGTTGGGGTATTGTGGCACCACATTCTGCTCCTTTAGCTCTCCTTTTTGTTATATCAGTATACGCTGTAACTCTGCTGGCCTGCTTCCCTCTCCTCTGTGGCGTAGAAAGCTGGTTTGCTGTGGATAGACTATCTAAAGAGGAAAAGGCAAGCGTCCTCCATGCATGGTGCACCTCCAAATATTTAGAAAATGCACCAGTCTCTCCAAGAAAGTAGGTACTGCTTTGCAGCATATCCTTAATTCTTGGCATTTTGTCTAGGTATCAGAGAGTGAGATAGAGAACTCACATTGCAGTTGTATAAATAAATCAGAAAGGTAGGACCTTCATGTGATAGTGCCATCTGTTAAGTACCAGTTGTAATTACCTAGCTTAAGGAATGATCCAAGATGACCGATTAGAGTTTCCATGCTGAATAATTCTCTGTACCACAGTCCTGATGCTGTTTCTTTCATATTTGATTCCAGGAGCTTCTGGAAGTGGGAAAAGGGAATCTGGTTGTGTGACAGCAGCCCTTGGCAACACATGGAGTCACAGTGTCAATACAAGGATCATACTACGATATCGTGACTTGCTGACAAGACAGGTGAGAACAAAAAAGAGAGTTTGAATAAAGCTACAACAGCAGTGCTCAGTCAGATGGGCTGTGTCCTTCAGCCTCTGTGATTATGCCACATGTGTTGAGAACCTGGTGCCCTGCAGCCAGTTGCTTATTTGGTGTGGGGGCTAATCAGTGTCCTTTGTTTTTCAGGGATGGCAAATCCTCCAGTGCCTCCCTGTGTTAGAATGGGCTTATCTTAGTCACAGGACCTAGTGTTGGCCTGGTGGCACAGGCATACAGGCTCCTTGAAGTTTTAGTGCATTTCATGTTGCGGAGATGAAGGGTGATCCTTAAAGTAATTCCTGCACAGGGCTTTTGGGGCAGGAGTAGGAGGCTAGTGCTTTCATTGCCATGATTTTTTGCTGTCATTGTTTCCACTCTTTGTGCTAAACTTCAGCTGTGACTGTTAGGGGAGTACTCTTGTCTTCTGCAGCTACTGCTTGCAAGTTAAGCTTGATGCCTGCCCCAGCAAGCTCTAACTTTGAGCAGTGTGGTACTGATTTTCCAGAAGTATGCCTGCAAAAAGAAGAGTACTTGCCCTTTTCATTAAGAGACCTCATGATTTTGAGTGAAATGGAGTAGCATTTTAGACTGCAGTCTTCCCCTCTTAATTTAAAAAAAAACTGTGAAAAACTAGGAAGCAAGGCATTGGGGGTTTGGTTGACGGAATAACTTTTTTCTGTTTTTAAAAACACTATAACCCATGATTTCATCTCTCCCTTGGGATATCTACTATTATAATCTCTTTTGGCTTTGTCTATTCTGTTTTTGCATTGATGTAACTCTTTCCAAAGGCTGTGACCCTCAGTCTTAATGTCATTCTCTGCCTGTTGAAGTAGAGACTTGTCAGAAAAATTTCTCCATAAGATTTGTGCCATCCTTCACCTATAGCATTACTGCCCACATACGTTCAAATTAGTGGTCCTGGTTTTACTGTCACAACACGAGGTTTCTCACTTCTAGGTTTCAGTCTTTTGAGCCTGAGAGCTCTGAAGACTGAGGAGCCTGAGGAGACCAAGTCATCCCATTTCATTCTGCTCATTAGAAAACTATAATTATGGCACTTCTGTTCCTGCAAGTAGGCACCATGAAGCAGTGGTAGTCCCCTGGACTCTGGTAGCAGGCTAAATGTGTCAAATGCAGATAGACAAGGCATCTTCTGGACTCTCTTCTAACGACTGTGCACAGTTGTATTGAAACTGCTGCTGCTCTTGTAAGTTCTCTATGTTCTAGTCTGTAATGAGTTCTCTTTTCCTACATGTGTGTGCAAAATACAAAGCTGTTCACAAATTTCCTGGATTGTTTTGGAGTATGTGAGAGGTGGAGCTGGCAAAGGGAAAAGGGCAGAAACTGGGCTCTGTGCTAATTCCTGATGCTTAAAGTCAGCTAAAAAGGATTAAGAACGTTCCTCTGGTGGTGGAAAGATGGAGCAGTTTTCCTGAAGAACATTAGATGTGTTTTTTCCTGATTTTGTTTGAGAATAGATCGCAAGTGTATGAAATGTTGTTTTCAGTCTTTTAAAATTCCATTATAAAAGATATACTTTGGTCCACTTAAAAAAACACCCAGAGTTTCACTCTGTTCCTAACTGGATTTATCAGGTGCACCACCTCACTTGCATGTGAAGCCACAGGCTCATTCTGTTTTGGTTGAGCAAAAGAACAGAATGTACAGTGAGGGAAAACAACCCCAAAGTAAACATTAAAATATATTATTAAAAACAAAGTAATTTGAAACAGAAGTGTGATATAAATAGTGATATGTCTGTGAAGCCCATGAATGAAATGGGATTTATCCATGGTGTCCTGTAAATATTTTCCTGTTGCTGATAGTTGTGTCCTTTTTTTTTTTCTAGATAAATTCTCTTTTCTTAGAACTGTAGAAATCTTCTAGCTAGACATGCAGTTTCCAGTTAGAGGAAGGCATCTAGAATTACAGTACCTGTAGCAGCACTGTATTGATCAAATTACTGTAGTTTTACACACATAAGTTCTTTTATAATTGCTTTATAGCCACTTTCAGAAATGAATTTTGAATAAAGGCACCTCAGTTCTTGAGATGCCATTTCAGTCATCATAAGGTGGTTCTGCCAAGAGGTATTGGATATCAGTGCTTTGAAACTCAGCACTTTTTAAGGAAGCTTAACTTGGAGGTCCAAAACTTCTCGTCAGTAATCACTTCTACAAATTCGCATATTACTGTATAAAAAAAAAAAAATAAAAAAGGAAGCCTGTGATTATGTGTGTAGTCCTGGTTTTAAAGTAAAATTCTGCCTCAGGAAATTACTGAAAGCACACAGTTGTTCTAGAGATTTGGGTGAAAAGTAGTGCAAAACCAGGTTTTCCGTGCCTTTCATGAATTGTAACCCTGCAGAATCAATATAGTGTAAAGAATAACCTGTGTTTTGTTCTGACTGACACAGTGGACACAATTTTTTCTTTCTAAAGCCAAAATTCATTCTTTCTTTGGTCACTTGACCTCCTGAAGGTGTTCTTCCTGGCTCTATTTTCTCTCCATCTTTCCCCGGAGGTGCTGGGGCAGTGGTGCCAGTCTGAGCGATCCTCTCCTACATCCAGCTTCTGTGGTAGTAGAACCAGTGCACTAATCCTCGCTGGGAAATCCTACCCATTGAAAGTACCTCTTAGAATCATAGAATAGTTATGGTTGTAAAGGACCTTAAGATCATCTAGTTCCAACCCCCCAGCCAATGGCAGGGACACCTCACACTAAACCATATCACCCAAGGCCTCGTCCAACCTGGTCTTTAGCACTGCCAGGGATGGAACATTCACAGCCTCCCTGGGCAACCCATTCCAGTGCCTCACCACCCTAACAGGAAAGAATTTCCTCCTTATATCCAAGCTAAAGTTCCCCTGTTTAAGTTTGAACCCGTTACCCCTTGTCCTGTCACTACAGTCCCTAATGAAGAGTCCCTCCCCAGCATCCCTATAGGCCCCCTTCAGACACTGGAAGGCTGCTATGAGCTCTCCACGCAGCCTTCTCTTCTCCAGGCTGAACAGCCCCAGCTAATGTAGTTGTTAAGGAAGATTCAACAAAGCAGTTTTCCAGAGCTATAGTATTTTCTGGACAGAAGAGGCCACTGGATTACTAGTGTTCTTAGTCATGCAGGTTTTCCTTTCTGGGAAAGCTTGGGGGTGTAGTCCTTGTTCCTGAAACTTTGGGGAATGCCAGGGCTGCAGATGGCAGAACGAGTGTGCAATAAATCTAGGGGAATTAAGCATAGAATTCCTACACCGTATTTTTTTTTTTTAATATATTAAGTAAAAGATCCCTTTATTTTGTTTGTCCAGCAGACGTTTTTTTCAGCCAGCTATCCCTTTTTCCACCCCACGCTCCGTATGTCTGGTGAACAGTTATAAGACAGAAGCCAATTCAGCAAAATAGTGGTATTTCTGGGACATCCCGCCTGCTTTAAAATCAGTCAGATTTCCTTTATTGCTTGGATGGGAACAGGTTTCTGAACAAACACATGAACTTTCCTCTTTTTGCCCACTTCTAGAAGCCAGTGTTCTGGTTTTTGTTTCCTCCAGGACAGAAGCAATGCAACTAGGGGAGGGCAGAAGGAGGTTTACAGTCTTTATTTAAATTCATTATGCCATCAAAACCCACAAGTATGGACAACAGTAAGAGTCTTTTAACTGCTGAAGTGAGACTGAGCTGCACATGTTCCACAGTGGCATAAAAGGTTGGGAGAACATGGGAAAATTTAATTGTTTCACATAAGTGGGTTTATGAAGGGAGTTTATTGTTATATTTATGGATACTGATACTCTGTTGTCCCTAAGCGCTCTTACGAGTAGTTGACCATAACATTTGTTTTTCCTGAAAACTGTACATAAATGTGCAGACTCTTAGAGTTTCAGCTAAAACCAATGGGGCTACACTAAAACACTAGAAACTGTCAGCCTCTTCAGTTACACTTATGTGTATAATTATCCTTCTTTCCTGAGCTGGAGTCAGCAGGCTCCAAGGTTACTGTGTTCCTGTGTGCTCAGCTGTCTTTGGGGAACAGCATGGTAGGGTTTAATACATTGACATGCTATGTTTAATGTTTTGTTCTTCTCTGTTGGAGACAGGGTGCTGGATTAGGTAAGGCACTGGCCAGATCTGGTATGGCAACTTCTATGGGCCTGGTTTATATGATAGTTTTCGTGGGATTTGTGAGACCCATAGTGTTGTGTTAATGTCTGTAATGTGTTTTGAAATTCTCAGATGGAAAGTGCACATAGATTTGTTGTTTTATAACAAATCAGTGTTTTCCTATGGTATTTTCAAGAAAGAGCGTTTAGAATCATTGAATAATTTAGTTTGGAAAAGACCTTTAAGATTATCGAGTCCAACCATTTACTGAGCACTGCCAAGCCCACCACTAAACCATGTCCCTAAGCACCACATCTACACGTCTTTTAAATACCTCCAGGGATGGTGACTCAACCACTCCCCTGGACAGCCTGTTCCAATGCTTGGCAATACTTTAAATGAAGAAATCTTTCCTCTAAACCTTCTCTGGTGCAACTTGGGGCTGTTTCCTCTTGTCCTATCACTTGTTACTTGGCAAGAGACCAACACCCACCTCACTCCATCTTCATTTCAGATAGCTGCAGAGAGTGATAAGGTCTCCTCTGAGCCTCTTTTTCTCCAGGCTAAACAACCCCAATTCCCTCACCCATTCCTCATAAGACTTGTGCTCCAGACCCTTCACCAGTTTCAGTTCCCTTCTCTCGACCTGCTACAGCACCTCAGTGTCTTTTTTGTAGTGAGGGACCCAGAACTGAAAACAGTGTTCAAGGTGCGGCCTCACCAGCGCTGAGTACAGGGGGACGACCACTGCCCTGGTCCTGCTGGCTACACTATATCTGATACAGGCCGGGATGCAGTTGGCCTTCTTATCTGCCTGAGCACAAGCTGGCTTAAGTTTGGCCAGGTCCCTTTCCACTGAGAGTATTTCCAGCCACTCTTCCCCA